TTAAATGGTGATGGAAGGAGACTTGACTTGGGGTGGTGAACACACAATACAATATACAGACGATGTATTATAGAACTGTACCCCTGAAACCTACATAATTTTATTAACCAATGTCACCCCAGTACATTCCATTAAAAAAGAAAAAAAAGTTGCATTTCTAACTCACCTGCTTGTGGAAATACTAGTACCTCCCTGAGGCTGAATGAGAAAGAGGAACTATAGAAAGATGAGTTCTCTGTAAAGCACCCAAACAAATCAGGGGCCGGGTGGCGCTTTGGGAAAACCACCTCTGGTGAACTAATGCACCCCAAATTTTGGAGTCACCGGGATCAAGTTATAAGCTAAAATCTTTCCCTGATTGTCCCTTGGGCTTCAGTTGTGAGAGTAACCTCCAAGGGGGGGGGGGCGTGTGGGCACGACGGCTTGCCTACCGTGGTGTCCCCAGAACCTGGCATTCAGAAGCCACTCAATGAACATCTGTGGGATGGATATCCTTCAGATGGCACACACCATCGCTGGCCAGGGCTGGGACTCTCAGAGTCTTAGGACAGGCAGGGAGTGTGGGTTCCCTCTAAGAAACCTCTCTCTTTTAAAAAAAAAAATATTTTATTGACTTTTTACAGAGAGGAAGGGAGAGGGCTAGAGAGTTAGAAACATCGACGAGAGAGAAACATCGATCAGCTGCCTCCTGCACACCCCCTACTGGGGATGTGCCCGCAACCAAGGTACATGCCCTTGACCGGAATCGAACCCGGGACCCTTCAGTCCGCAGGCCGACGCTCTATCCACTGAGCCAAACCAGTCAGGGCAGAAACCTCTCTTTTTATACAATTAGGTAAACTGGATCCTGAGAAGCAACACTCTGGTTAAGAACAGGGCACGCCTGCCCAGGTCTCCTCCTTTGTCACCCAATGCCCTCGTCCCCATCTGAGCCCCTCCAATCACAGAGGAGGTACAGAACTCTGGTTAAAGAGGGGGTAACTAGTGATAGTAATTCAGATAATGGTGAAGATGAAGATGATGATGGTCCTTATCACTGACTGATTCACTGAGTGTTTGCTATGAGCCAAGAGCTAGTCCAAGTGCCTTGTAGACATGAGCACCTGCCATCCTCGGGGCCGCTGAATGGCCACCTGCCAGTGGCACCGAGAGTTACTCTCTTCTGAGCTCTATGCCAGGTGCTGTGCCGCCTCGTTTATTTATTTATTGTTCGTCCTCAGCCAAGGATATTTTTCCATTGATTTTTAGAGAGACTGGAAGGGAGGGGTAGAGGCAGAGAGAGAGAAACATCGATGTGAGAGAGACACATGGGCTGGTTGCCTCCTGCACACGCCCAACCAAGGCTGACCTGCGACCGAGGCACGTGCCCTTGACCGGAATCGAACCCGGGACCTTTCAGTCCACAGACCAACGCTTTATCCACTGAGCCAAACCGGCTAGGGCTGTGCTCACTGGTTTAAAGGACTAGTTCACTCCGTCCTCACCAACCTCACCAAGTGCAGTTCTGTAGCTACGTTACGTGTAGGAGTGAGGACACGGAGGCTCGGAGAGGCTGTGTAAGTTGCTAGTGATAAAGCAAGTAACCTTAGTTCTACAAGAAGTCAAAGGCGTGCTCTTGACCACATGCTAG